CTTTTTTTGCCCGCTTTTGTTTTTTATTATGTCTATCTTTCTCAAGCCTTGTTTGTCTGTTGGTGTCAGTTTCCTCTGACCGCTTTCTTTTTTTAGACTCACTATCCTTTTGAAGTCTAATTTGTCGTTCACTGTCAGTTTCCTCTGACTGCTTTCTTTTTTTAGACTCACTATCCTTTTGAAGTCTAATTTGTCGTTCACTGTTAGTTTCTTCTAAACGCTTTCTTTTTTTAGTCTCACTAGCTTTATGAAGTCTAGCTTGTCTGTCAAAGTCAGTTTCCTCACACTGCTTTCTTTTTTTGTTGGAAGCTATACATTTATTTAATTGCACAGGAACAATTTCAAATAAATTTGTATGTAGTTTCAGTGAAACAGAACACAAATATTGCTCTAAACCAATAATATTAGTAAATTTCATGACAACAGCCGTGCCATTAGGGTTGGGCATGCCGCTAAAGTCTCTGGCATGTGAATCAAATAAATAGAAAGAATCCATTTCATTTATCAGGGCCATCATATAACCCTCTAATATTAAAATAGCATAACTCTCATTCAAAAAAATATTTGTAAGAGCTGTATGAATATCATAGTAGTGAGGCTCAATTTCTCGGTCAGTTATAACGAGACCTTGAAGCTCTTTTCCATATTTTATAAACCAAAGTTGGTTTTCCATTTCTACCTCATTAAGCTCTACAGAGATAGGTAATTTGTCAATGTTTTTTGCCTCAATTATGGGCTCTGCCACAATGGGCAGATCACTAGTTGTCACCATTATAGGTGATGACTGCACAGGTAGTTCAATGTTTTTTTGTGCCTCAACGGGCAGTTCAATGTTATTTTGTGCCTCAACAGGCAGTTCAATGTTATTTTGTGCCTTAACGGGCAGTTCAATGGTATTTTGTGCCTCAACGGGCAGTTCAATGTTATTTTGTACCTCAACGGGCAGTTCAATGTTATTTTGTGCCTCAACGGGCAGTTCAATGTTATTTTGTGCCTCAACGGGCAGTTCAATAATGGGTAGATCATTATTTATCACCATCGATGGCGATGTATTAATTGTGTGGTCTATCAAAGACCGGCATATCTCGTAAGGAAAGTCATTCGACATGTTCCTACAAAATGAAACATCAACAACTGTTGGCAAGTCATCTACAGACAAAATTTCCACACCATCGTCTAGAATTAATAAGCCACTATTGAGAGCTTTTAAGTACATGTTGTCTCCTTGTATTAAGACATTATCAAACGTTTGTTTTGACCACTCGGTCAAAGGCATATTGTGTGCTGTTAAAATAGCCGATAAAGTCATGAAAGCACATTGCTTGCCTCTAGAATGAACACTAAAAAGTTCATCACCTTGATGTATATTTGATGAAAGAAATAAAGCCATACTTACCAGTTTATTTTCAGAAAAATTTCTTTCGCTTGCATTCGGTTTAAAAAAGTCTTGAGAGAGCACATGGAAATGCGTACGCATACCAAATTTTGTTCTTCGACGACCCCCCTCATTTTACGAACGCACTTGAAGCTTTAATTATGCCCCCCGAAAAAATGGACAGAAAGACAGACAGAAGTCGAGATCTCGACAATACATAGATCGCGCGAAAGACTGCGTCGAGTGGACTCTGGAGAAACCACTGGCGAGAAACGCTAGCTGCTAAGGACGTCAAGAATAGTGTGCTGCCTCGCTGGCGCTCGGCAGCAATAACGTAAAGAGATTCTCGTCTTTCGAATATCAGGTTCTTGGTTCTGTTTGTTTGTTTTGTGATTTGTTGCCCAAGGTGTCTTGGTTATTGCTTTATTGATATAATTCCTTGGGTATAGTTGTTCTTGATAAAAGTTGAGTTGATAACATTAATTTTTCTTTCTTAATTTTAACCTTCTACTGTGTAAAGTCAAGTGTATCAACCAATCTGTACGTTTCTTTATTTTCAGACATCAATGAATGTGCTGATTCGACATTGAATACATGTCATCAAAATGGTCAATGCTTGAACATCCCAGGATCATATCAATGTGCTTGTAAGGTTGGATATACTGGGAATGGAATCCACTGTACAGGTAAGTATGCAAGTTCCGAAATATAATTAAATAAAGTGCATGCAGTAGCTCTATAGCTCTCTATTCTTACCCAATATGGCAAAATATTAAGTCGATATTGCAATATTGGGCGAGACCGAATATCGAGCTTAATATTGAAGTCGAGACTTAATATTTATCCAATATGGGGCGAAGATGATTCGAATAAGTGTTTTATTATATCAAACAAAACAATTCTATAACAAAAAATTGTCTATAACTTTTATAAGCGAGGATAATACAACGAGAATAATACAGCGATAACATTATCACACATGCATCGGCGGAGAATTACAGTTACTAACTAAGCAAAAAAGTTAATAAACTTGTTTTCAAAAATTAGTTTGCATAATTCCACATATGTTTACACGTAATCTGACATAATTTAACGAAATAAATTGAATATTACTAAACTTAAGAACGTTGTAAACAAATAAATTTCTCGAAGACACGCTTTCGCGAGAAATATTAAACAAAACTGGAATAAAAACGGCCATAATCATACCTAATTTTAAGAACTTTTTATCACTGCACATTTTTAATTGTGCAAAGTTTAGCCGAGACCTGAAAATTTCTGAACACACCCTTATAATAATGTGTAACATACAAAACAGGCTACAATTGATATTTAAAAAATGAAATCTGATGTCCAAGAAATGACCAAATCCTGCGTTCCGGAAGTCTGGTTGACAGTTATATCTATGTATATTTCACTGTAATTCTCTATTTGCATGGGCGCCCTTTAACTGAGGCCCCACGGCAAATTTCCCCCTACACCCCTCTAGGCGGCCTTGACAGCAACTGCAGTTACGACAGTCTATGGTAGCATAGTTTTATAATCATATGCTTAATTAATTTTTATTTTTTTGTAAAGAGTTTGTAAGAAATCAATCATGCAAAAAAATTAGTTATGCATAAAATCAGTCATGCGTACGATAAATTATGCGTGAAAGACTACTATAGCAAAAAGTCCAAGTTTTGAAGGTCGCGCGTTGGACCAATAGACATCAAATTGTCTGCTACTGTAGGCTAGAAAATATATTTTTCTAAACAATTTTAGTAGTGGTAAAGATACTAACAGACCCAAACTACCCATGCTTGCAAAAAGTTTTAACAAATCTTTTGGAATTGCAGTTTAGCCGGCATTTTCGAACAGTACAGGGACACAGAATGCGCAACTCCTGTTAAAATTCAACCTTCTCACCCAGCAGAAGTTGCAGATATATTTAATCACATGTTCTTGTTTAAACAGTTATCGTCCAATTTTTTGCAAAATGCGAAAAAGATCTCTAAACTTGTTGCTGTATGACAATCACGAGGGGCATGTTTACGCCAAAAATCCATATACACTTCGCTTTTTGAGAGTGAAATGTTCGTCGTAGGCATTCATCGTCATACATGCACCTAAAAAATAACATTTTTCGTTTGGTTACTTTTTGTCTATTTGCAAATTTATTTTAGACATTAATGAATGTACTACTGGGACTACTGTTTGTCATATTAATGCTGATTGTACAAATACGATTGGATCGTTTGAGTGTTCCTGTAGAGCAGGTTATGTTGGTGATGGTATTAACTGTGCGGGTTTGTAGAATTATACAGAATATTATCAATAGACAATCATTAAAAATATTTAATAAGCACAAAGTAAATGACCATATGTATATACAGGTGTATCTAGTAATATTATGTACTGACATGTAATTGTACGTAACGTTAGCGCACGTCGTGCGATCATTGCAGTTGTTTGTTGGAAACGTTTTTAATTTATTCCAAATTCTGTCTCAATATATAGATGAAAACGAATGTTTACAAAATAAATGTCATGTGAATGCCACGTGTGAAAACAAAGACGGCACCCACAGATGTTTCTGTAAAGGTGGTTTTACTGGAAATGGACAATCTTGCAATGGTAAGAGAACAGAACAGATGAGGAAAGGACAGAACAAATCGGGACAAAATAAAACAGAACATGAACATGAACATGAACATGAACATGAACATGAACATGAACATGAACATGAACATGAACATGAACATGAACATGAACATGAACATGCACAGGAACATGAACATGAACATGAACATGAACATGAACATGAACATGAACATGAACATGAACATGAACATGAACATGAACATGAACATGAACATGAACATGAACATGAACATGAACATGAACATGAACATGAACATGAACATGAACATGAACATGAACATGAACATGAACATGAACATGAAACATATATAGATCAATTTAGATGGAAAGAGAGGAGAGCAAAGAAAGAATTAAAAAAGAGCAAGAATATTGTGAAAATTGGAGTTAAATTTCATAATTTGAATTTGAAATTCCTAGATACCAACGAATGTTTAACCAATCCCTGTCATGTTGCTGCTACATGTAAAAATACAATTGGTGGATTTTTGTGCGCGTGTAAAGATGGCTACAGTGGCAATGGACTGCTCTGTACAGGTGCACAATTATTACTTCAACATTCTGCCAGACTTTAAAGTTTGTTTCACGGTAACTAGGTTTAATATCAGTCCTGTTTTCGCTCGCTACTCTACTTTTTAAGTAAATAAATGCAAATTCGTCTGGGTTTTGCATTCATTTACTTAAACTGCGAAACATAACTGATTCTGCAAGACGTTTGTTACATAATGCTATTATCGTATGTGTTATAATTATAGATATCAACGAATGTGTGGCAATCCCATGTCACCGTCATGCCACCTGCACTAATCTACCAGGAAGCTACCAATGTGTTTGTAACATTGATTACAGTGGAAATGGATTCAATTGTGGTATGTACACCATTTTGTTAATCGATAGTGGAAAATTTTATTGCACTATAAATTGCACAGTCATTAATTGAAAGTACTATAGCCATGTCATATATTTAACAATTAAATTACAAGCTCGAGATTTCTATGAGTTGATAAGGACGAAACTCAAATCAACTATCACTTCATATAAAAACGAAAGCGAGTAATCTGATTGTTTTAATATAATTAGAGTAAAGAATCAAGTGCGTCCTCAGAAACCTTAGAAATACGCGAGCCGGAAGCTATTTTCTTAAATTAATGCGCCAGGAAAATTATTGTTTTGCTATTCTCGCTATATCTATCGATGGATAGATAGCGAGCAGAGTAGCCAATCAAATTACAGCATTTGCAATAGTGATGAAGATAAAGTGCTATTAAATTACCGCTTAATAAATGGCCGAAGCTTTATTTTGGATGAAACGATGGTTGTTTTAATAACATCCAGTAAAAGGAGAAAAATTGTGTGACAAATTTTTCTTCTCTTATTGATACTTATAGACATTGATGAATGTCTTCAAAACACGGATGACTGTGCAGATGCCCCATCAGGGACATGTAACAACACAATTGGAAGTTATATTTGCACTTGCAACCCAGGATATACTGGAGATGGAAAGACTTGTGTTGGTAGGTTTTTCAACATGTCCTCTCCAACTTGTTATTATATTGAAAACAGAGTTATTTCATTTGCAACTTCAGGTTATTTCCGTCAGCTTTACTAACATTAACATACGTTCTTTAAACGTACGTTAAATGTTCACAGCATAGCCATGGTTTAGCTTTGTGAACATATTTGGTGCGTTACTGTAACATTTAGAAGGTTTTGATCATACCCCAAACGTAACTCATGTAACCCCAAAATTCAATTCAAATGCACAATTTGTGCGAAGCAAAATGGTTAAATGGCGGGGGCAAAAATCACTAAAAAATTATTTTTACGACAATTTTGAGAATAGGCTATATAAATAAATGCCATTATTATAGGTCTACATTAACTCTTCACTCGTACATTTTTGGAACATATTTGTTGGATATCTATTAGTTTTAAACATTGCATATGCAGTCATGCATGTATTTGTTTTGTAGTAATTCAATAAAAAAATGTAAAAATCGATAACATGAACATTGATTTATTTTGATGTAATATAAAACAAATAATGAATGTTTTCGTCCGTGCGATAGCAAGCATGCATATTTGAGTCATTCGGTGAAAGATGAAATTTTCCATTTCGATCACTCCCCTTGTGGAAAGGAAAATTTCATCTTTCACTTCATGAAAATATTTTTGCCATTGTATTCATAAACATTCATTATTTGTACAATAGCGTATTTGTACAATTTAATGATGCACTTGGATTTATTTCAACAGACATGCAGTTGTCAAATGAATGCTATGTATTTAAATACTTCACTGATATTACTGTAGACATAAACGAATGTGAGTTAACTCCATGTCACCTGAATGGGATTTGCAACAACACAGATGGTAGTTTCAACTGTGTGTGCAAACAAGGATTTTCAGGAGACGGCTTCAAATGCGATGGTAAGTTAATTGAGTTTACAGGGAAAATCCTAGTGTAACTACACATGAATTTTGAGCATGAATTCATTTTAAAATCCCAACGGCAGTTTGAAAAACTTTAATAACTTTACGCGTCCATGGATTCCAGAGTCATCTGTTATGCATGTGCGACATCGGTAGCTTTCGAGTATCAACCATTCATTGAATAGCGATAATTCAGTAATAATTAATTGTTTTATATTAATAATTGTGTTGTTGTCAAATAGCAATTCCCTTTTGATAATTGTTTGTTTATATATTGCAGAAAAAAATTGTCAGTATCATTTTTCTTTCCAGACGTGAATGAATGCGTTAGCTCGCCATGTAATGACTCTTTTCGAAAATGCGTAAACACACCAGGATCGTATGGGTGTGTTTGTCAACATGGCACTGCAAGAGATCAAGTGACATGTAAAGGTAGGAATCGGCATCACATACAATGTACAATATAACAGCATATATATATACTAATATGTTTGATAATCCTTAATAAGGTTTACATACCTTACTTCCATATTTCCATGCAACAGGAATGTGTCTAGAAGAAACAACTGGTGAAAATGTTGCACAAGGGATATTTTTTTGGAACATTACAACGGGTGACCGTGTTATTTTTTCAAACTGTCCTTATGGGGGAAACAATCACTCTTCGGGTCTGCGTGACTACTTGGCGAGTCGACATTGTCAATGCAACGATAATGCATGCCAAAGTCCACATTGGCTTGAACCCGACACTTCACAATGTAAATACAGAGTGTTCAATGATTCAGCAACTACAGACGGTTTGTCAATTCTCTTACAGGTATGAGAGGAATCAACAAACTTGTTGTTATTAACATACAGAGAATTCCAAACTATGCAACCCCCCCCCCCACCCCTCTATATTTTGTACTTTTACTATATTTTCCGGCATAGAAATTTCAGGTTTTTACACTGTATGGAATAACTATCAATTCAGGTCAACACATTGTCATTGATATTTAAGTGATCAAAATAAATTTGGCGGTTTCTCTTTTGCTACCCTGTTTTTTGCCTTCTTAACATTAGTTCTTATACCTAATGAAATGTTGATGATAGTGAACACAAATTATCAGCTTTATTAGTAGGTGGGTGGCGATTTCCTTTAAACGTATTGAAACATAACATAATGTCTCTAATTTAAACAAATGTGAAAATTGGTGTCGCCACCATAAGCGATTCTAGTAGCCGAACGGTTGGTTATTTTGATCCGTCAAATATTGGTGGATTGAATTTATGTGTTACTAGTTATTACTGACACCTAAACCTGAAACCTAGATCTGTTAAAACTAATGAATACCACAAAATAAAGTGGGAGGGGGCATTTGTTTAAGTGTTAATATACTAATTGCTATATATGTATGCGCGTGAACAATAACAGCATTTTGAAATATCATGAGCAGTAGGGCAAGAAAAACAGATTCTACCTGTGTAATACTATAATCGTTTAAATTCACATCATTATTTTTTTACAATAAAAAAATAGTGCCGAGACATGCAATAAAAATATTGAAGGGTAACACAATTGCATGCCTTTATATTTTTAGGACATAAAGCAGAATAGCACTACAGCAATAAATGCAAGTATCCGAGTGGTAAATTTAACAACTGATTTCAAGAATTTTGGAAAAGAAGATATCTCGTTGACCACCTCAATTCTGGAAAATATTGTTGGAAAAAAAGAATTTTTGAATGAGGTGGTGTAATATACTCGTATGAAATCATGTGATCGTGATAGAGTCAATTTGCTGAGCTCATGCATGTTCACTGTTCAGTGAAATGACGAATTTTGCAGCCTTATCGATGAAACCTAACTTGACAAAGCAGTTAAAATATCCTTGAAGTATTATATTATTATTCAGGCAAAATTACTGCAGCTATAATTTCTTAAAACAAATTTATTGTTATTTTTTAGACAAATATATTCAACCTAATGTGCAAAGAGTTTAAACCCGTTAATTTTTGTTCTGATCAAATCACGTTTCCACATATTACAATTTTAACTGGGGAATTTTTTCTTTAGACTGGCACGAATATCATTAAGGCTGTTGACAACTTCTTAAATGTCGATCCTGTCATTCTTGCTCAAAATCAACGCACTGCTAATTCGTCTGCAAGGTACACGACAAATTTCCTCCAGTTAATCTTACCACAATTATAGTTGACTATAGTTCGTCATCATTCGATCTGTGCCTCATTCCCTTAAATCTTTCTCCTCGTTTTCCTGTTGTCCCATGCAGCCTTCCCTTTTCCCTCTGTTTATTTTCCACTCATTCTAGTATTTGTCGACTTACGTAACAGCGTTCTTATACGTAACAGCGTTTTTGATACATATAAGCCCATTACTTTATGTGTATTACTTAGTTTATCCACAAAAAACTGTATGCCAGAAAGAAAAAACTATTTGTATAGGTAATCACACGGGAAGGATTTAAAACGAGTGATATTTGAAAAATGTGCCAAAATTGCACGAGCCGCCGAGGCGAGTGCAATTAGGCACATTTTTCAAATATCACGAGTAGTGTTAATCATTAATTGCACGACTTGCCCGTGTGATAATTTATTTATTATATACATGACAAAATCGCTTTCTTTATATTTCAACTGCATTTTGTCAAGAGTCTTTAACTTTTTTGTAAGCAATTTGGTATAAACAAACTTGGGAAATGATTATAAACTCATAAAGGCACATAATTTAAACTAGAACACAAGATTCAAACTCAAACAACATATTTTAGACTAAGAAAATCTTTATAAATTGTATTTCAAACTTACATAGTCACGTTTCGCTGCATCCCGCCGAGATTATTACTTAAGACTGTTTCCAGGTATTTTCCACAGGATCTTTTTGCCATACAATGTTTCTTAAACTCATTCTTGTGCCAAAATTCAGTTAAATTCGTCCACATTTGTTAGAAATACCATAGGCAGCCCAAAACGGCGTGTAGTATGCACCAAATGCTTCCAAATGTCAATTTATATTAAGCTCGCCCCATTCCTCTGTCATTTGTCGCGCGCCGCAAACACTCAATTGAAAAGCAGTGTTGATATATATAGATTATACCTAAGGTTGGCAACTATATCTCAACTGACGAATATACCACTTCGGCAAAACGCAAAATACTTCGCACACGTAAATAAAACATGATAAAAAATTATACCATAATGAACTCTGATATTTTTTCTACATACCCGCATATAAATTTTGTTTTCAAGACTGCAAGAAAGATGAAAAATTTGCACAAACGTTTTATGGTCTGATGAAAATTTTGTTGTACCTATGCGGGATGCTAGAGGTTATTTCATTCGTCATATTTTCAAAAAAATTATGCGATTCAATTGGTTGAAAAAATAAACAGTTTGTGACGTATTTATAGTAAAAATTTGGTTTCAGGGGGGGTTGAACTACAACAGGAAGACTGCTAAAATACAAGAGCGATTTTTTTTCGAAGATGAAATGGTGGATTTTAAAAACTTTTTACATCCATCCAGTGGCGTAACGTTATATCAAGGGGCCCCCGGTTCAAACGTTTCGAAGGCCCCCCTAGTAAAATTGCCAGAGCCACAAGTCGAGCGCCGAATATGCACACGTTTTCTAGTGGGTCCAGAGCATGCTCACCCAGAAAATATTTGAATCTAGACTCTCTGAAATGCCATTTCCCAGACTTTGGGGAGAGATTTTACAGAATTCTGATAGTCAGAGAATGGCATTGTTGCTCTATAGGCTATAGCCTGAGCCTGGGGGCCCCCGTTGGGGTTGGGGGCTCCCGTTGTGGTTGGGGGCCCCCGTTGGGGTTGGGGGCCCCCGTTGGGGTTGGGGGCCCCCGGGTTCTCCCGGTCCGAGCCCATAGTAGTTACGCCACTGCATCCATCCATAACTTTTATCTACATCAAAACAACCAGGCAACTTTTGGGTACATGTACACGAAATGTCATGAAATTCTGAGCAATAATGGCGAAGAAAATGTGCTAACTAGACATAGCGATATGCGAACACGCTTCGTTGTGAACCTCAGAAAAGTTATAGGTATGAATTTATTTTATAGCGTTTTTAATACTGTATCTTGGAACAATAGGTTGGATCATTTATTTTTCCCTAGTAATCAAGTGTTCAGTATTAAATAGGTGTTTGTACTGAATCTCTAGTTATAATTTTAAATAGCTATATAGCAAGAATATTTCGAAGTGAATTCTGTAAAACTGTTTTTATACCCGACTATAAAACTGTTTTTATATCAAAACAAATTTGCATTTTGCCCTGTTTTATTTATTATCAGTTTAAATACAGTATTCACAGTAATAAATAGCTATTACAGTCACTAGTTTTTGTTAAAAACTAACGTGTACTTTAATACAATTTAAACTAGGGAGATGTTTAGGCTTTTATTATAGAATACATATAATTTAAACTTTCAGAACTTTGATACGAGGTTGTTTATATTTAAATGCAAAATTCCATGCTGGGGTATAAAATGAATACTAGCACTCTTACAAATTGCAGCCTATTTTGTGAAATACACATTCACTCAGTATTAAACGGAAAAATTTATCCAACCTATTGAACCAAGTTAAATTAAAACGCTATAAATAAATTCACCTATATAAACTTTGTCGAGCAAGGTTCACAAGTCACAACGAAGCGTGTTCGCATATCGCTATGTCTAGTTAGCACATTTTCTTCGCCATTGTTGCTCAGAATTTCATGACATTTCGTGTACATGTAGCCAAAAGTTGCCTGGTTGTTTTGATGTAGATAAAAGTTATGGATGGATGTAAAAAGTTTTTAAAATCCACCATTTCATCTTCGAAAAAAAATCGCTCTTGTATTTTAGCAGTCTTCCTGTTGTAGTTCAACCCCCCCTGAAACCAAATTTTTACTATAAATACGTCACAAACTGTTTATTTTTTCAACCAATTGAATCGCATAATTTTTTTGAAAATATGACGAATGAAATAACCTCTACACGGCCAAGTTCGCGCAACTTGCAGCAAGTCTGTCATCAGGCCGCATGCGAATTGTTGCCATCAAGCCCCATCTCAGAAGCGTTCGCTCGGCTTGTTGCGGCTTGACGATACTTGCCCGCATCAGCACGACAACAGGCTTGCTGCAATTTGATGTCGACAGACCTGTCGCAATGGCGATGACAACAGACTTGCTGCAAGTTGTCGTTAACAGACCTGTCGCAATGGCGATAACAACAGACTTGCAGCAATTTGATGTCGACAGAGCTGCAGCAATGGCGATGATAACAGACCAGTGAACTCCTCTCTCCTCCGCAGAGGCACAGGCTTTAGTTTTCTTAGGATTTAATATTACAATGAGATACATTTCACTACACTTTACATGGCGGATCTTGGAACACGAGCGTAGCCGCTGGGGGAAGGAGCGCAGGCGGCAAAGGGAAAGGCGAAGGAAGGCGCGAAGCCTCTGCACGATTTGCATCGCAAAGTGGGACAAAGTGGGACAAAGTGTAAACATCGAAACAAAAGGTGATTTTAAGCTAAACAAGAAACGTCTTTTTGAAAATTAAATCATTATTTAATGCATGATTGATTGACCTCATTGACTAGTGCTTGCATGTTTGTGGATGGTCAAAAGTAATATTTTTAACATTTAATACACAAAGCAAACAATCGTATATTTTACTCACCGCTTGGCCAAACATTCTGTATTTCGTATCGAGAAAAACTTGAATATTTCTTGAACTCTTCGGAATTCGCCACCAGTCAAAGAAGTAAAATACTCCTTGCATTCAAGCACTTTCGTGTAGAAAATTTCTTTTGAATACGGCCAGTAGAAATATTTATTTTTAATTTTTCAAAATATCGGGTTTTACTCGCACAGTCGCACGCGCCTGTCACACGCTGATGTTCGGGAATTAGTTCACAATCAGACCAGGAATGGAAATACCATAATAAAAGATGAAGTTTTCAAGATACAAGCTCAAAAATAACACTCTAAGTAGTGTTTTGAATTCGCTTTCGAACAAGAGTAATACAAAGAGGATGCGTCCAAAGGAGCCGAAGTTATGTTC